TTGTTACCTTCGTCGATCAAATCGTGGATATCCTGATAACTGGTGACCGCGAGCTTGCTGAGATCCTCGACGTAGGGTCCGAGCAAGGGATGCTCTCGCACCCTCAGATTGCCCTTGTTCTTAGGATTCAGCAGATCCCTGACCCGCTCGCAGTAGATCTCCATGTAGCTCACCTCTACTGAATACTTCATATCTGCTGCAGTATTCTTTCTGATCTTTGTGAAAAGATCCTTGCAGATCTGCGGGATGATTCCCTCCTGACCGTCCTCCTGCTTTCCCATCATCGTGTAAGATTTACCAGCTCCTGTCTGGCCGTAAGCGAAGATGCAGACGTTGTAGCCTTCGAAGGAGTGCAGCAGCATCTCCTCTCCGATGTCCTTGTAGACAACAGATTGGGAAGAAAATTCTGGATCGCTTTCCTGCGAAATTACAAACGAAAATTAATACAACAAAGTCATTTATTGGATTTATGTAATAAACTCACATTGTGCGACCAGTACGAGTAATCAAAGTTGAAACTCTTTATGGCCTCTTTCGATCCTGGAGGCGCTTTCGGATTTGCTATGGCTGAAAACGAAAGAAGAAAAATAAAACATTGGAATTTGTGCATGAAACGTGTGGGAATATGCGGCAAATTGGAATTTTCGCCACCTGCTGAAATAATGGGCATATTCGTAAGAGCGAGGTGGGCTGAGAGCATCTGCGCTTCTTCGCGATCGATACGCGACGGCTGCGGCCCGGGGAATAAGCGCGCAATAGAGGCTCGTTTCTAGGCCAAAAAGAAGTGCATTCAGATATATCTATTCATTGATGATATCTGATCATAATTTCTTGAACTTTTATAATTGGATAACTTGCAGAATCAATTTTGCTTTGTGATGTGATACTAATTAAATTTCTTCAAGAATGCTTTAAACGTGAAACTTTATAACTTTCAAATTGAAGAAATTAACTTACATAAATTAACGATTATCATAAAGTCTTAAATTCTTATTATGAGCTCAATCTCTACTTAAATTTGAAAATTGAAAAATCGAGTATATAAAGAATCAATAACTATAATCTAAGACTTACCGGTTGTATTTCCGCCCATTTCTATGATGCACTTGCATTCTCGCGTGATTTCTCTGTTGTTGAATGGACGAACGCGGACTGCTACTTTTACTGAAGACATGATGTTGGATTTCTATTTTTTTCGTTTTCCCTGAAAAATCAACGAAAATTTTGCAATTTAATTAAAATCGAACCATAAAAATTAACATACAATTAATAAACGTCATAAGTTAATATGTAAAATTTGACATTTGAATTGTAATTATCGAATTACAATTTGAACTTGTCATAGTTTCGAGAATTATTACAATTGCTATAGTAACTATCTTTGACATCGTTTACATTTTGTGTTAACATTGTTTCAAAAGATGTCACTTTGACAATTAGAAATTTAATCATTGTCATGAATTGTAATGTAAAAAAAAGTTAATTTCAATACAATTTATATTAAAAAAAATTGAAATTATAATGGTAATTGACGATGAATTATAAATTCGAGCAATTTGAACAACTCATTAAATATGGATAAATACGATCAATTGGAATTGAACTTCAATTCGGATCGTTTATGAAATATAACTTTGAACGAGTTTTAGATGTCAATGTCAAAAATTTGACTGACTGTCATGAATTTGACTGAAAATTGAAAACTAATCTTACCAGTTGATTGACGTTTAATTGTCAATGTCAGATGAAATTTTTTGAAATATTATTTGGTATTTTGTAAGTTGTTATCTGAGATGATGCCTGAGACGAACTGCAATTACGTAAAGAAATGCGGAGACGACATTCGGCGCCGATTCCGATTCCGTTTGCTGCGCGAATACAAATTTCGACTTCATTTCATAACAATTTTTATTTTTCCTTTACGACGGACGACCAAGACGTGCCATCCGCAACGAATGTGATTCATCCGGCGCACGTCCGCGTCTTGCGTAAGATCATCAAGCAAGTGTAAGTGGTGAACAACAAAAAAGATAAATGTTTAGGATTATTTTTTTTTTTTTGTATATAGGCGCCGACGCGAGGGTTGCGTAAAACAAACCAAACCCCGCCGCAACCCGCAACCCCTTCTCCACCTCTTGCACAACCGCTTATTGTGCAGGTCTGCACGTGGCAGAAGACCCCCTCTTGGAAACTGGGTCAACCCGAAATATTTAGCTGGGTGCCAGACGGAGAAGGAAATTGGGTCGAATCCGACCAGGGGAATGCCGACAATTTTAGCGGAGAGGCTTTTAACGGAAGAAAACCTCTCTCACTCTCTCGTGCGTTCGGGAAATTTCCATTTTCCTTCTGAAATACATCCCCCTAGCAAACTACATGATACACACACACTACATTCGGATAATTAGAATTAGATTACTCCTCGCTCGAGCG